AAATCCTAAAATTCATTTTATAAAATACTGTGTCTTTTTCTCTATTTGGATTCTTTCATGGTCAATGCTTGTTCTTGTGACTCACATAATCCAATTCCCCTGGGTATCTTTAAATGGTACCACACCTCAGGTTGTCGCTTACCAACCTCATCATTTTTATCTTTAAATTAAGTTCTCATTGTGGTTTCCTTTTAGGGAAATTGTCACTAAGCCTCCAATCTAGTAGCTTAAAATCTTCTTTAACTTCTTGTTCTTACATCAAATCAGTTGCCAACTTCCAAGCACAATCACCCACTGTTGAATTTATGCAATTCTTTCTGTGCTAGTACTATCTAAAGTCTAGATTTAAGTCACTCATTTGCACCCACCTCCGTCCTGGGACATCCCCAATTACTTTTACCTATACTAATTTTTCTTTTTTCAATTGCAGTCATCAACTTCTAACATGGTAGAATATTAATTTATTATGTGTACTATTTATTACGTGTCTTTCCCAGCTAGAATGTATGTTCCGTAAGGACAAGATCTTTGAATTATCCCAAGCATCTCTGACATTACCTAGCATATAGTGGACCTCAATAAACATTAGTTGCAAAAGTGGAAAATATTGTACTTATACTGCTTTTGTGAGAATTTTTTTAAATGCATTTGGTATTTTTCTTTCTTTTTGCTTCTCTTTCACATCTACAAAAATGATTTGTACTCATGTGTTTGCTTGGAATTAAACATATAAGACTTAGGCCACTGGTTCACAGACCTGCAAAGAACCAGTAGTTTTAGTCTAAGCATGTACTTTTCTCCAGCTTTAGTTCTTGAGTAAAAGGCAACATTAAAAATAACATATCAGAGCTAACTTCTTACCTGAGAGTTTTGTTTTTTTAATGTATCTTACAGATTGTATATTTCTCACACAATTCTTAGGTTTATCTAGGAGGTTTTATTTAGCTATAATTTCCTTACTACTTAGTCTCTGTTCTTGGTATTGCATTTAAAAAAATCTTTCTCTTTGTATGTGACTATACTTAAACCAGCAATCATGTTATATGTGTTCTATTTTTTCTTGTGTCGCATTACATTGTTCTTTGATCATGGAAGCCATTTGGCAATGGACAGTGAGGTAGTTAAAAAAAATTTTTTAATGACTTAAATAATTGGCCAAATGCGGGGAAATTGCAGTAAGAAAAATTGATTAAATCTTGTAACTTTTTACACTTGTAGTTATGGTCCAACAGTATGTTATTTATTTTGTTCGAATTGTTCCCGTTTTTACCATTGGGAATCCCTTTAAGTTGGCTCTCCTCCCTTGTATTTTGAACACTTTTTTACTTTCTGGCAAAGCAAGGTGCTCCCCACTCAATATTCCCTGACTCAACTGTGGTATTAGCCCTTTCTCTAAGAAGACGTAGGTCTTTTTTTATTGAGAATGATATTTGGAAACTAAGAACTGCTACTGAGTTCTCACTGAACTGAGTGCTCATTGCTACTATTTTATTCATTGTATTTTTAATCCTGTCTGGCAATCTTTGGCTTAGATATGGAAAATTTAATTCATTTTCACTGTAATTGCTATTATATTTAGATTCAAATCTATTATCTGAATATTCTACATTTGTTCAACTTGTTTTTTTTTCTTATTATTTTCATTTAATCAAATGTCTTATTATTCTGTCTCCTTATTCATTTGTAAGAAATATACTACTGGCTGGGTGCAGTGGCCCATGCCTGTAATCCTAGCACTCTGGGAGGCAGAGGCGGGAGGGTTGCTCAAGGTCAGGAGTTTGAAACCAGCCTGAACAAGAGTGAGATCCCCATCTCCACTAAAAATAGAAAAAAATTAATTGGCCAACTAAAAATATATAGCAAAAATTAGCCAGGCATGGGGGTGCACGCCTGTAGTCCCAGCTACTTGGTAGGCTGAGGCTTGAGCCCAGGAGTTTGAGGTTGCTGGGAGCTAGGCTGACGCCACGACACTCTAGCCCCAGTAACAGAGTGAGACTCTGTCTCAAAAAAATAAATAAATAAAAATAAAAATTTAAAGAGAAAACAAAATCTTGATTGATTGCCATTCAAAATTTTATTTCATACCTATATGTATTAGTTTTTGTAAACTACATGTAAGATTTTCTCTTTCATAAAGATATTTTTTTTTACCTGATCATCTACAGGCTCTGTGTCCAGATCTTAAGGACATAGCTTACATTCAGATTGACACAATTTTCATGTTTAATAATCTAGTCTTCCTTTATGTGAATTATTAGATAAGTGCAGAATAAGATCATTACCTTCCATGCATGCTGGGAAAGGAATACAACATTCAGGTAGGAGGGACTTTACACACTGAGATAGCCCTAGAATTCTCACTTTCTAAATATAGTCCAAACACTGTAGATTTGATTTTTGTGTTATATGGTGTTTTAGTTTCATTAAAGTTATTTATTATGTCTTTGTTACATCTTGCCAAGAGGGCTATTTTTCAGTAGTTAGACAGTAGTAATTTTTTTACCTAGCAATATTACATGAGACTAGATACAATGAAAATTTTAATGCTTCATTTCCCTGAGATTGTTACTTTATTATGTTATTACCCTTAGGTTATCTCTCAATCCTCACTCTTTAAGGAACATATTATTATCTTCTTTGTAAAAAGTTGTATTTCATGAGGTGAAGTTTCCTCATCTAATGTATAAGCAGAACCATTTTCTGAACCCAGATTTTTCTGGCTAAAGCTTATCCTTTCTGCAGTTCATCATGATGCAAAAAATTACTTTGTTTCCCCAAAGCTGAGAATACTTATACTTTCAAACAATATGTTCTTTTCTGTATAAAGATTGTACAACCAACCCACCATCATTATCAAGTGAATCTATCTTCATTTTTATTTTTCTCTAGTGATGGTTATAGATTTCCTCTGTTTTATTTCTGATTACTTTTTTCTTATGACACATTTGCAAAATGACAGAGTAGGCAGTTATACATGAATGAAATTGTATGTATTAAAGGCTACCAAATCTGTAAATTTAACCTCAGTAACACTATGCTCTAATCTTAATGCTACTATTTTTGCACTCAAAACCATTATACATATTATTGACTATCATTAAATGACTGAATTTGGGCAGCCCTTGCAAAAATATATCTTTGTACTGCTACATTTTTTTCAATATTTTCTATACTATTTCTTGTTGTAGTACTAATTAAATCTTCAAAATAGAATTTGCCTTTGCTCCTGGTGAGTAGTTAGGACATTTGCAATCCCAGATAACATAATTACATTCAG